CTCCTGACAGATCGATTACAAACATCGGCACACAACCATTCAAGCATCCCAACAGTAAGGACATCACATGTTTATTTGTTCCCACATTTCTATCATGTTAGGATGTCGTTAGCATTTAACACATTTATGCTTCGCTGAAAGTTCTGTTCAAGTCATTGAAAGCATCACGGGGCCCAAGAATAAGGCAGATAACTCAGCGTGAATGGGTGGAGCTAAACTGCTGTAGGCAGAATAGGTGGAGATATGAAAATAACATCACAAAAACAACAATTTAAAAAGGCTCTTTTTAAAGTTTGTCTTCCCCATATAGAGACTAAATCAGGGGTATTAAACTTAACCACTTAAAGAGCCATGTTAAAAACCTCTACGGCCAAAGAACATCTGTGCTTTTATTTGATTGTTAAATGACATTTTGCTATAACCAGAGCTGGTCATTGCCAGAGCTGGTCAAATGCCAAAACACCATCAAAATAAAGGGAGTTGTAGTAAACCTTGAAAATATTACATAATGAATACTTGAAATATTCAAAAATAAAATAAATAAATGAGTAGGTTTCAGTACACAACATAATGCACATTACAATAGGCTACATAACATTATGCACATTATGCCGCACTGCATGCTGGGGATTGTAGTGCAGTGTGTTGTCAAATGGGCTAATATTAATAGAAAATGAGTAATTTTGCAGACCAGATAGGATTATGCCTCAGGCCTGATCTGGCCCCAGGGCCTTGTGTTTGACACATGGGGACTAAATGGACTGAGAAGTGAACATTATGTTTTGATACTCTAATAATGTTTGCATGTGACATCAAACTTTTATTTTAAAATAAGTGAGGAAAATTCAGCTTTTCATGCTACGGACCCTTTAAATGAAGCGAATTTCAGGATAAAGGATAAAATAAAATAATAATAAAAAAATAAAATTCAGGTCATTTTAGATCATGAAAAACATATATTCAAGTAAGGTGTAACCACACTCTTCTCTGGTACTGTGCACTCTCAGAAATAAAGGTAAGAAACTGTCACTGGGGTGGTACCTCTGTTGTCGCTGGGGTGGCACTTTCAGGGGTACCTTTAGTCAAGGAATATAATTGTACCAGAATCCATTGAAATTATATTTTCTAAGCTGTACTGACTCCACACACTCCGTCTCGTCTCCAGGCTTTTATTTTACTGTTCTGTTTTAAAACATTCGGTTATGAAAAGTACAAATACGAACTTTTCACCTGGAAAAACTTATTTAAGGTTCACAATCAGACCCTAAAACCACTGCTGTACCTTTGAGGGAACATTTACATTGTTCGTACCTTGATGAACAAAAACTGTACCTGCACAGAACCTTTATTTCTAACAGTGTAAGTTACTCTCATGTGTTCCTGCATTCCACCATGCTTGACATAGCTCAATATATGTCCCCCAGCTTGCAGAACCTCCCCCACACCCTGTGACCCCCCCACCACACAGACACAGCCCCTCATCACCCAACCCCCACACACCACAGACACGAGGCTCTGGCCCTCTTAAGCACTCGCTGAAGGCTCCCAGGACCCTACTGGCAGAACCGATGAAGCCAAAGCTCGTGCTGAAAAGCTTATCTCTAGAATCCGTGCGGATGGAGGGTGCGAGGGTGGATGAATTAAATTTTCTGTCATCACAAAAGAGCCGATCTATAATTACCACAGCTTCCAAAAGCATCCCAGTATCTCCACCGATGTCTTTGTTTACCCCCTAGTCTAATCTCTGCTTTATCTGAGATATATTTTCTTTGCCAGAATATAATCAACCAAAAGCACAGGCCTACTGGTTCAGCAACACTATAATTATTGATGCTATCATGAAGCTAGACAAGTCTAGCTAACTGAAAAGTAGAACCAACACATTACAGCCTTGTGAAATTTACTGAAGATAACAGAGGTGCTCTAACTTTCCTCACTGATTAGACGCTCTGAAGCTGTGTACACATCATACGTTCTGCCGGACGCGAACACGCTGCTGCTGGAGGGGAACAGATTAGAAAGTGTAGAAAGCAGTCATCAGAAACCTCTCAGCTGTTGGATAACACAAATGTAGACTCACTCCCTGCCAGTGATACTAAAACCGAGTTATAAGCAAACAACAGTATCATGAAATAATACTACCTTGGCTAGCACCACAAACCAGCCAGTATATCCTTCCAAGAATCTTAAAACTGAGAGTTCAGCTGCTACTCAAGGGCAATATGGGTCACTCTCTAATACCACATTAACACTGTGGCTTAATACAGCTGCATTAACTTCAATTACCCAGCAGCCACTGCTTACGTAAGTGTCACAAGCGGAATTATAGGAATTATGCAAATTTGTAAAGTACATATTGCGCAGATGCTGACTCGATTTTTAAAGTAAGTGCTAGTCAGAGCACAGGAAAGGACGTCAGAGCTCATTGCTTAAAGGGAAATTCCACCAATTTTGGAAAATGTCTGCATAATTCACTCAGTAAACAAAGTTTATTTACAGAGTCATTTCTTTTTAACTGTGGTGGTGATACACCCACAGTAAAAAACATCCTGTATGCACCTCTCTACCATGAATATATTGTAAAAAAATATATATATATATATTTTCCAATTCACAGTGCTACAGCATGAAATTTTGACACAACATAAAAGGCAACTGGATTTCTCGAATTATGTAAAAAATTGAAAAACAGCAAAAACAAAGGTAGAGGGTTTTAATCCTACAGCAATGATATGAAGGACAAAGTCAAACATATGAATTAATGCAACTGTTATTTGTAATAATGCTTAATATTAGCTAACCATTATCGTTGTAGTATCTCATGGTTTACAATATTCACAAATGCATTATTTTAGTTAGTCAACACTTTCCATCAGTGTTATTCCATAGTTTTGGTGTCTTCACTATTATTCTAAAACGCAGAAAAAAGAGAAGGGTCCGACTGCAGAGCCGCAGATTTACACCCGCAGTTTCACTCCAGCGGTTTCAGGCCAGTGGAGCTCATGCGCAGTAGGACAGCGCAATTGTGCCATGTAAACAAAGTCCTTATAGGAAAGTTGAGCGTTACGAGCGTCCTATTCTTATTTCAACCAGTAGCCGGTCCTCTCATTTATAATGTCTCTGATGTAAACAGTGACTTTTTGTGCTGGTTGTATGTGTCGCCATGCATAACCAGTTAAACCATAAGCCAAAAGACATTACAAAACCATCAGAAACTGATAGAAACACTTGTTTCTGTGGATTTTTTCAGCAGGGAAATGTTCACAAACTGAAGTTTGTTTTAGCCTAAAACTTAATATTATGCTCAGTTTAAGCTGCTTGAGGTAAAGTTTTATTCCTGCACATGTGATGTAAGTGTGCACATAAAGCCCCCGTATTAAGGCTAAGTTAACTGAGCTATATGTCTCCATAACCCATTAGTTTACCCAAGACACATAAGCTGTAGTTTGTGTAATATGTACTCTGTGAATCTCTATATGTGTTCAAACCAAAGGTTGTTTTAGCCTAAAGCTTAAAACGTAACGTTAGCCCAACGCAAATTTATTGGAAACCCACATAAAACGACTCAAATGCCGATTAGCCTAAAACTCGTTAATAAAACACAAAGTAAGTGTCGCTGAACGCCACTGGCTTGAACCTGCTAGAGTGAAACTGCTGGTGTAAAACTGTCCCTCTGCGGCTCTGCAGACAGATATTATTGGAAAAAAAAGGAAAACCCTTCATGAGGAGGCGTGACTGGTATCGAATGCTTGAATGCTCTATTAACTTACAAGCCGGGGCTTTTGTTTCACTCGCTGCCGAGCTCTCCTGAGACACACATTTTGGGACACAGCGTGTAGGGCAGAGTGTGATGGAAATCTACCAGTGAGGGTTTACTGACATCACAGGAGAGGCCTGATGTGAGCAAGTCAAGGGAGACAAAAAGCTTTTCTGCTGACTGTCACCAAAGCTGAGCACCGTCAACTTTTTTTTTCGCCTTATGACTCATCACTCCTTCACTCTTTCTCTCCACAGGGTCTCCTTTTCCTATCCTCTCCCTCCATATGTGCAGGCCCAGGCCCGCCCCTCCTGTTTAAAGAAAGAAGAAGAAGACTCCCTGCCCCACTATCGCACCCAGCCCGGGGAGCCAGCAGACTAATTATAGGCTTTATTTGCCTCTGTTCTGGGTCTGATAGGCCTGTTAAGGGGGAAAAGGGGAGCAACCATCTCCTCAAAGAGGGCCGAGAGCAGCCTGGTGCATCACGAGAGAGGAGATTACATTTAGAGTGGGTGAAGAATGCTTTGTAATAGTTGGGGGGGGGTGTAGCGAACGTGTGCCGCATAGCAAACGCAGGGGCAGAACAACATGAGAAAAAGAAGGGTGGGTGTGAGAGGGAGAGTGTGATTGGTTGCGTTATTATGAGGGGGAAAAGCATTTACAGAAGCTTTCCAAAGCTTTATGATGACAAGCGCCAAAATACGGAGCGCTGGCTGCGGCTCTTAAGAAGTGCCCCACTTACGGGCTGAATATAAAAGAAAAGGAAAAACCCACACGTTTTCTTTCATCTCGTAACCGTAAATGAAAAGAGACGCTCTGTTTTTCTCGAGAGCCTGAAGGAACGTGGTGACTCAGAGAGCTCGGGACAGTCGGAGTGCGCTTCTTCCTTTTCCACGGCCCTGTTTCCACACAATTATGAAACACTAAAAGCAAATCGGTAGTGAGTGAGAGCGGATCCCAATTTGCCCTGGCCTGCTGACAATGAGCAGAGACGTAGGCGTAATGGAAGAGGCCTCCTCCTCCGCACTCTCTGGAAATGCATTCCGGCCTTAATAAAAGGAAATAAGTAGCATGGAATTAGCATTGCAAACACTCAGAGGTAATGGCTTTGACCCACATGCAAATGCACCATTCTTCTGCCATTTCTCTTCGGCGGACACACACACACACACACACACACACACACACACACACACACACACACACTGCTGCCTCCCCTTAACGCACCATCTTAACTACTCACCAAAGTCAACCAGCTTAATCCCTCCTTGAGTGGTGAGCAGGATGTTGTTCCCTTTGACGTCGCGATGGATGGTCTTGTTCTCGTGTAAGTGCCTCAGACCCTGCAGAGAGCGCAGCAGGCTGGGTAAAACATCCTAAAAACATCTCGCTCAAATCTAAAAGCCTAGACACTTTCATTGTCATCGTCCACAAAGAACCCTACATCTGTGAGAGGCTCCATCCGACTGCTCAGGTATAAATCATAACAGTTAGAGCACACAGACTCAACAAAGACTAAGAAACCCAAATACTCTGATGCTGCCATTTGTAGAATGTAGAGAAAAAGAACTGATGAACCAAATGAAAGAGTATGAATGGGGGAGGACATTCTAGAACAGTGTGAACATGATGGAACATTCTGCAACAGTGTGAATAAGAGAGGACAGTGCCAGTGGGGAGAGAACATTCTGGAACAGTGTGAAGACGGGAGAAATATCATAGAATAGACTGAATGTGAGAGAAGATCCTACAACAGTGTGAATAAGGGGAACATTTTAGAACAGTGTGAATGGGGAGAACATTCTAGTATAGTATGAATAAGAAAAGAACATTCTAGAACAATGTGAGAAAAGAGAACATTAAAAATGTGTGAAAGAGAGGGGCCATTCTAGAACACTATAAATGGGGGGATATTATGGAAGTCTGGAGAGGCCATGTGTTGTTGCTATAATTTTCTGGATTGTTATCTTGAGATAACAAGTTAATTATCTTAACTTAAATTTGTTACTTTGTTATCTTGAGATCCCAGGATAATGAACTCTTTGATAATAACTTTGTTATCTTGAGATCACAAGATAGTTAACTTGTTATCTCAAGATAACAATCCAGAAAATTATAACTACCTCATGGCTAACACCTGTCTGGACTTCTGTAGAATATTCTAGAACAGTGTGAAACTAAAAGAACATTGTACAACAGTGTCAATGGGGAGAACTGTGCCAATGGTTGGAGAACATTCTAGAACTGTGTGAATGGGGGAGAACATCATTGAAGTGGGAATGTGAGAGATTCTAGAACGCTGAATAAGAGGAACAGTGTGTATAGAGAGAAAACATTCTAGAACAGTGTGAATCAATATAGAACAGTATGACTTGAAAGAACATCCTAAAAGCTCACTGCAGTCACACACAGGTACAGCACACCAACTCAAAGTAAAGGTTTATGGGTGTTTCTGGGTTGTTGTGCTCTGGATCTCCACGTTAATTCATTTTTGTCAATTTTTATTTTTCTACATGGGCTGAACTTTACATTATGTGAAACTGTCATGATGAATGGACCAATAGAAACACTCCAGAATCACTTGGAGTCAAATCTTTTTACATTAAATTACATTAAAAGTTAAGAACATGTTTGCCTTCTCCTGTAAAATGATTATTCTAGAGATACATATTTTATTTGGACATTTATTATTCAGTAACTAATATTTATGTGATGCAGCTATGAGAGCGAGGAATTGAAGTTTGGGCCCACATAAGGATTCAAAAGCTTTAAAAGTTAAAGCCCCAGTATTAAACTGCAGGCCGGTCGGTCTTCAGCACTTTGACCATGCTCCTGTGGTATTTAACTGTGGGTCAGCTGTAGGACAGTTGTGGCCCTGTTTCAGCAGTTTTTGACTGGAGCCTTTTAAAAGGTCTTAGTTAGAGAGATGAATTTGATAATAATAATAATAATGCCTAAAATCCTACCATGAGGGCCTCATGTAAGATGTATGCGATTATGGGTTCATCCATACGGTCTCCTCTCTTCAGCATGCCCTTCGCCAGATCTGTCACCGAGCCTCCGTTACACAGCTGGAAGAAAAAAGAAGAAAATAAATGGATTAAAGTTGCAGTGTGTAAGATTTAGTGGCATCTAGTGGTGAACTGAATACCCCTCCCTCACCCCTCCTCTCCAAGCATGTAGTAGGACCTAATCAAGATATCTATCATTGCCTGTCCCAATTTTGTTTTGCTTATTCATGTTTTCACTTCTTTGACAACGAAGATTCACCCTCACTTGCTTTTTCTTGTGCTGAATAGTAATTATGATTCTCCATTTGTCAAAATTTGGGCTCTCACAACGAAGAATGGTTAGCTGGCACCGACAGCAACCACTTATTCTTCTTTCTATGCCTTCCAACCAGTGCTACACTGCCACCAAATTCAAGCATAAAATAATAGTGGTCTCTAGAGCTAGTGTTTAGGTTTTCCACTCTGGGCTACTGTAGAAAATGGCGATGCAACATGGTGGCCTCTGTTGGACGAAGACTTGCCCCCTATGTATATACACTGATCAGGCATAACATTACCACCACCTCCTTGTTTCTACGCTCATTGTGCATTTTATCAGCTCCACTTATCATATAGGTGCACTTTGTAGTTCTACAGTTACAGACTGTAGTCCATCTGTTTCTCTGATACTTTGTTAGCCCCCTTTTACCCTGTTCTTCAGTGGTCAGGACCCCCATGGACCCTCACAGAGCAGGTACTATTTGGATGGTGGATCATTCTCAGCACTGCAGTAACACTGACGTGGTGGTGGTGTGTTAGTGTGTGTTGCGCTGGTGTGAGCGGATCAGACACAGCAGTGCTGCTGGAGTTTTTAAACCTCAGTGTCACTGCTGGACTGAGAATAGTCCACCAACCAAAAATATCCAGCCAACAGTGTCTTGTGGGCAGCGTCCTGTGACCACTGATGAAGGGCTAGAGGATGACCAACACAAACTGTGCAGTACAGTACAGTGAGTGGACACAGTGTTTAAAACTCCAGCAGCACTGCTGTGTCTGATCCACTCAGACCAGCGCAACACACACTAACACACCACCACCGCGTCAGTGTTACTGCAGTGCTGAGAATGATCCACCACCCAAATAGTACCTGCTCTGTGAGGGTCCTGATCACTGAAGAACGGGGTAAAAGGGGGCTAACAAAGTATCAGAGAAACAGATGGACTACAGTCTGTAACTGTAGAACTACAAAGTGCACCTATATAGTAAGTGGAGCTGATAAAATGGACAATGAGTGTAGAAACAAGGATCTTACACACTGCACCTTTAAAGATGGCCATGTTACACACAGATGAACCCAATTAGGCAACTCAGAGCAGGTGATGTCTTTTTTTTTTTGATGAACTTCTCTTAATCTAGAAGCATGATATTTATCTGTATATTTATTAAGTTCAAAAGCATGCAGGAGCCCTGTCCTTCAGTTCAATCTCACTTCCATGATCTGAGGAGTAGAAGAAGCAAGAACAAAATGATGAAACTGCAATATTGATAAAACCGATGAATGCTGAAAGTGATCTGATGAAGAGAGATAAATTAGCCGGTGATTTGATAAATACATAAACAGTTTTCACATAAACTACATTGATTTCATAAAAAGCCTGAACGCATTTCATCATTTGGTTTATTCATCCTTCTTTATCCAGTCCCGCCATTCACTATTTCACACTATCTTTCAGTAACAGTTCAGTCAAAATACATCCCAACTACTTGCACAGATCCAAGTTTTCTGTTGCTGACTACCATTTAGTTTAAATGCATTTGGCCGTTTCACAAGCCAGGCGTCAGTTTTAAAGAGAAAGTGTCACTCCACTGCCAGAGGCTTCATGCTCTGCTAAGTCTGACTGTGTTTAAAGAAAAAGACAAACAGAAAGGTAAATAGCCTAGAAGTCAACTGCAGAAAACTAGGAAGCATGTCAGTGAAAGAGTGACATATTCCTGCAATTCAAATTATGAATGTCAAGCTTGAACGAAGAATGATCTAAAATAGTAAGTTTTCACATAATTGTGACTTCCTCTTGGTCAGATTCTGACAGAATTGGCAAAATATTTGAAAAACAAAAAAGTTCCACATAGGACTCTTGATGCTGCAGGCTACCGCACACCAGACGTAACACTCAGACCCCTCTGTAACTGGGGGATAACGCTCTATAACAGTGTGAATGAGAAGAGGGTTTAAATAGGGCAGAACATTATAGAACAGAGTAAATGTGAGAACACTGTAGAACAAGTCAGCATTCAGATGGTTGCAGTAGTCTTTTTATGCTTCCTTAATTGGACTAATTAGATAAGACAAAAGCTTTACACTGCCCTCTGTTGGAGTATAGAGTTCAGGTATCTCATGGTTCTTAAATATGAGAACATATAACATTACAGAGAAGCTAATTTGCCTCTCGACTGTTTTAATTTACTATTCAAGAAGGTTGCATATACACATATAATTCAGTTCAGTTCAGTTCAGTTCAATACAAACTAATGGGTTCTCACACGACTGGGACCAGTTATAAAGAAAATTAAACAGAGAAAATTACACAGAGGAAAGATCTGTGAGATACACCAATGACTAGTCAAAGGTCTATCAAACACCATGCTTCCAGAGATATGGAGATTAATGTAAAAGGCATCTTCTAAGCTTCAATAAGATTCAATGTTATTTATTAATAACATGCATATCGCTGTTGTCGGAAGAAAACCATTTTTGTCGTTTTTCAGTTTGAGATAATTTGAAAACACCTGTTCTCCTTTACATTGTGTGTAAATTTCATGAGGAATGGACCAAAAAAACTGACCCAAAATTACTCAAAAAAGTCTGGTTCCATTGACTTACATTAAAAGTAAAGTAGGTTTTTTCCTTCTCCTGTAAAGTTACCATTTTGGAGATACAAGGTTTTCTTCCCACAACAGGGATATCTTAAAACGAACCAGGATCTTAAACCATCAGGATGTGTCTTTTTTGGAGTCATCTGGGCAAAAAGGCACTGCAGAGCTAATTCACTTCTCACCCTTAAAATCTATCATTAGAAACATTAGGTACAAAGCAAAATGTGAGTGTTCTAATCCAACGGGCTGCGCTGGAAGAACAATACAGAGCTAATTGAGCACGGCGCTCTGATTAGGCTGCTGCTGCTGCCGTTGTTTGGTTGCAGTCGGTGGAAAGCTAAGGTGAGGAATGGCTCTTTTGTCCATAGTGAGCCCTCTCGAAAATTACGTTAAATTGTCCTATGTGTTGCCAAGGCAACAACGGCACCCTCTTATTTGGGCCTGTCTAAAATCGACCTCGGGGAAGAAGAGGCTGGGTTTGATATCTGCAACAAGACTAAGAGAAGGAAGTGCTACAAAGACCTGTGTTTTGATTCTACATGTTTCATCTTTTTTTCGTTTTTGGCTTTCAAAGCTCAAAATAAGAGCTCACTAAGAGGAAGAAGGAGGGAAAAAGAATTTAATTCATAGGATAGAAATGATAAAGTAGTGCAGGGCTGGTTGCCACTGATAAAATACAATATGACAATACTTTTCAAAGACAGTGCTGTGCAAAAGTCAGAGACCACCACAAATATATTACCTTTCCAGTCAAATTTTTTTTCAGGAGATATTCCTGAGGAGATTAGATGTAAGGTAATCCACTTGCACAAGGGGAAAGACAAAGTGAGAAAACAGGGGGTTCCAAAACCGGAGCTCAAAACTGATTAAAAAATACAGAGAAAATGGGGCTCCTGACATCCACCTGGAAGACCTGGTAGACACCAAAACTGCCCCCATCAGATAAACAGCACTTAAAGCTTTCATCTCTGAGAGAGAGGAGAAAATCAAGCTGCTTCAGATCTGAAAACATCTACAGGTGTTTCTGTCCATCCTTCCACTGTGAGAAGACGACTCAGCGCTGTGGGTCTGAAAGGATGAGTAGCTGTCAAGAAGAACCTCACTGAGAAAAGGAGACGGACACATCAAACAAAGAAGCTGAACAATGGACTGACCACCCCAGAGTCCAGACCTCAACACCACTGAATGGGTTTGGGATTATTTAGATTGTGAGAAGCAGAAAATGCTAAACCAACTTCTACAGGTCTTTACACACAGAGCATCATTTATTCAGAGCACAGTGAATTCATTTGATCACGTGTATAACTGATGATATCTTGCACACCAAATTCATTTTTTGGGTGGCGAAAATGTGACCTTTTTTACTAACCCTCTTTACGATTTCTTTTGCCGGTGACACAAACTCTCTGACCAATCACAGTTGTTTCTGGCGTTGGCATAATGACAACCAAGATGACGAAATTGTCTGGAACTGGAACATTTTTACAAACAAATTGTTTGTGAATTATTAGAAGCACCAAAAGCAGCTCAAATTGGCTCAAACTGGGCAACAAACATCAAGTTACATATGGAAGTTTCAGCTACTGAAGAAGCAACAAAGCACTTCACGCTAATTTCACCTTCCAAAATGGACAGAAGCTGAGAGTCACCGTTTGCTCATTCTGTGAAGAGCAAATAATACGGACTTGGACTTGAAGACCGTTTGTTTTGTCTCGTGTGGAACTGCATCTTCTAAATCAGCTAAATGGAGATCAGAGCTGTGTGTGAAACAATTCAAAAAGTTTAAGCTCCTGAATGAAGTGGAGAAACTCTGTTCTCCTTTTACATTTCCAAAGTGGAAAGTCACAGTGACAGTGCTACAGGACGCCCATTTTCTGAGAAGCCAGCACTGTTTAAAAGATATTCTGCTCGAAATCTTGCGAAATCACCAAAAAATTGCGTACTGTCTGGAGTGTATAGTTTTGACGCGAGAAAACCATGCTAGAAAATTTAGCATTTTCTATTTAGTTGCTGAGTTTAAATTTGGAAAATAATAATACAAAATGTTCTATAACTTTTGCACAGGCCACATTTTATGTTATATTTTTTACCCAATGTGTTAAATTCAGTAAATAAACAGTAACTGTGTTTTAAAACGTGCAGAAATGTTTATTTTCACTTTGAAAATCAATAAAACATGTCATTCAAATTTTTGTATATGACTGTAC